CCCCCGCCCCGCGCGGCCTTTTATGCAGCAGGCGCCGCGCGCACGCCCCAAGCGCACGCGTGTACGCGCACGTCCTGGCCCCTGCGCCGGGCGCCCCCGCCTCACCGCCGCCTGAAGCGACACGCTGGACCCCTCCCTCCGTGATCCCCCACCTCCCCTCGCTCCTTTGCCGCTCTCTTTAGAAACGCTTTGGTGCTTATTCCAGGCCCCGGCGCCCGTCTTTTGAGGGGCCGCATCCCACACCACAGACTGCGGGGGAGGGGCAGCAGGCAGGCAGGCAAGCGGGCAGCCCAGCCAGGGGCCCGCTGTCGCGGCCCCTCTCGTGCAAAGCCCGCAGACCCCCGTTGAGGACGGCAGCTGCGGGCGGTCCACACTGGGGCCGCACGAGCGCGCGCACACGCGCGCGCGTGTGCGTGTGCGTTTGCAGGCGCGCGCCGGCGCCTTTGAGAGTGTTGTCAGTCGAGTAGCGCAGCCCAATAACTGCTCCAGCCTGGCGCGCGCAGAGCGCCGCCCGGGGCCCCCGGCGTCTTGCGTTTCCCTCTCCGGGGACGTCGCTCTCGTGACCGCCCCTTTTCCACCCCCACACCAACCATCACCGCCCGGCGCGCCTCCCAACGCCCGCGCCGGCCCGCAGCGCGTGCGGGCGCGCGCTCGGCGGTGGCGGTGCGCGCGCGCGGGCGCATGCATGCGCGCGTGCACGCGTGCGGTTCTGTGGTGCTTGGGTGTGCCCCCGCGGCATCGTTATGAGTCAGAGCGTATTCCGTCTTCTATGTACATTGGTAACCCCTTTGCAATTGGTCTGCGGCGGCGACTGCGTGATGTGAAGTGCCGGCACGCCCACCACTGGCGAGGTGCGGCTGGCCATTCTGGAGGCAGGGGCAACCGGGGTTTGACGGAGCAAGGGTGGTCAGGGACAGGCTATGCGCGAGGTTGGCAACCCCCCAACCGCACTCGGCTCCCCAGAAGAGTTGATCGTCAGGGGCCGCCACGCCGCGGCGCGCGGCCGCGGACGCCCGTGGGCAGCGCGTGTGGGACTGTTGTTGCCCTGCACGGGAGGGGGGGTGCGCCCTGCATGAGCGTGGACCAGTGGGCATCCCCTGAAGTGCATAAGGCAGCCATGCTCTGCAAGGGGTCAGGCGGCCAGACGCAGCGAGGGTATCTTGCGGGGCTTCGTGCCGCGGCAGCGAGCGGGTTTACCGGTGCACGGGTTCGCGCCTGTCCACGGGGTCGGAGGCAGGTCGCTGCTTGGGCTGAGGAGGCTAGGGTCCGGGCCATTTTAGGGAGCACGACATGCGCAAACACACACTACAAGAAATCCCATGCGAGCCCTTGCACGCGCATGCGGGCCCATGCAAGCGCGTTAAATCGTAAAACGAGCCCATGCGAGCTGTCAGGTAGGCATGCCGCAGCGCGCCCAGCGGCTGGCTGCGCTGCGACCAGCGCGCAACTACACGGCACAGATGCCGCGCCCGCCCGCGCAGCGGCGGGCGGGGCCGTGCCCCGCGCGACTCCGTCCCCAACCGGTGGGCTGTCGGGGCTGCACTCCAGTCGGCGTGGCGGTTTGCTTTTCGGCTGCTTGTGCGGCCCGGCCTTTTCGGGGGAAGTAGAGAGCCTGAAGCAATGGCCTTTGCTTGACGCTGCTTGGCGCAAGCAACCCCTTGGCATGCGTGCGCCGAGGCAGGGGCGCCGTGGCGGCTGAGCGCGCAGCATGCACGAAGACCAACTGGTGGACAGCCGCTGCCGATGGCTAGCCATGCATACTACACCGTTTGCATGCGGCCGCCTCCCACACGTCAAGTTACATGCCTTGAACATGAGCCAGGGCCAGGGCGCAAAGGTTTGAAGCAACGTCACACAGGACAACTGCGATGTTTCAGCAGCTCCTCATAGATCTAGATGAGACGGTACGGGTGCGCTGTCTCAGCACCTCACAGCTATGGGGGGGGGCCTCATACCAGTCGCCAGCGGCGTGCGCGCACAGCATCAACGCCGCTCAGGTGGTGCGCTGGTGGTCGTTTCAGCTGCGCTGCTTGTCAATGGACTCTGTTCGCCACAACACTCCGTCACGGCTTCCGAGTTGCCATATAAGCGGTTCAAATATGTCCGCAAGGCCGGCCGTACGCCCGAAAAGACGTGATCTGGGCCGAACATGTGGTCCCACTCAGCTAAGAGGCACGCAGCGAGTGTGTAGCCACACGCGACGAATGTGAGTGCTTTCACGCCACTCCTCCAGCGGCGGGTGAACACCACCTCCCCAAAATCCGACATCGCAGGAGGGTGTGAATTACACAGTGCTTGCACGAAGAAGAACTACCTGCACGATACAGTGCGCATGACCATGCTCGCAAGTTTCACATGCGCACCGACCCATCAACGTCACCCGACGCTCCCCCTGCCTCGTTGAGAACGATGGCGTTCAGGAAGGCCTCGGGCGCTGGCCCCTGCTCCTGTCCTGAAGTTGAGCTGCACAACTGCCATGGACGCTCAAGTGCGGTAAGTCGCTCGGTGCAGTCGGTTGGCGCTCGAACTCCGCGCACGCTCCCTGCCAGTTGACATTTGTGCCAGCACGCCAGCATCGGCCGTGCCCACCGCCCCCGCCGCCGGCCCGCCGCGCGGCCGCCGCAGGCAGCTGAAGCTGGAGCACCTGAAACGCCGCGCCGCGGACGCGCTGCGGCGCGGCAACTTCCGGGACGCGTGCGATGGGTGAGCGCGGGCCGCCTCCCACTCGACCCATCACGGAGCCAAGCAACCGCCGCCGCGATCGAAAGCCACAACGGAAACATCGCACGCGCACCCCACACCGGCAGCTCTACAGACACCAGCACGAACCCCCTTGTTTCCCTGCACGCCCCCTGCGCCGCCGCGGGACACAGGTATACGGAAGCCCTTCGGCTGTGCCCGCCCGCGGACCGCGCCGCGCGGCGCGCGCTGCTCGCCAACCGCAGCGCGGCGCTCCTGGGCGCCGGCCGCGCTGCCGACGCGCTCCAAGACGCGCGCGGCACGGCGGCCGCCGCGCCCGGCTGGGCCAAGGCGCGCTGGCGCGAGGGCCGGGCGCTGGGGGCGCTGGGAAGGTGGGTGGAGCGGGCGCTGCCTGCCCTCGCGGCGGCCGCGCGGCTCACCGCAACAGGTGGAGGGCGGGGGCGGTGGGGCTGCACATTGCGGCTCCCTACCATGCACGGCTGCTCGTGAAGGGGAGAACGACTCTCCCTCGAAGGGAGGGGGTCGGTGGTGGCAAGATCAAAAAGGCATGCACGACCACCGCAGGGTGCGGCGGCCATCGATACTCGCCCCTCTGCCGCGCCCGCCTCTGCCTGTGCACGTCTCCGCGGTTGCGCAGGTGGCCGGAGGCGTGCCACGCCTACGCGCGCGCATGGGACCTGTCTGGGGGCGACCCCGAGTGCGCCGCGGCTCTGCGCTCCGCCGCGGCGCGGCTGACGCGTCCGCAGCTCGCGGACTCCCTCCTGAGCCTGCTGCTGCCCGGAAGCTTCGGGGGCGACGGCGCCGATGACGTCAGCGCCGGGGCCGCGCAGGTGGCGGGCAGCTGCGGGGAGCTGCTGGGGTGGGAACACGGCTGGCTGGGAAACGCGCAGGGCGGCGGCGTCGGCGGGGCGGGCGCGGCGGCGGCGCTGCCGCCCCTCCCGTCGTCCACCATGGCGGGCGC